TATCCAATCTGTTATTGACCACGTGTATGACGAGGGTTGAGCGTCTGTCACAGTCCCCATCAGTAGGAAGGGGTGATACAAATTTAGCCGGCACCAATGGCGAGGGAATGGGTGAGCTGGGAATCTATGGAAGCCTGTCTGAAGATCTTGTTGAAGCTATAAAGGATAATATTGAAGGAGAAACGTCTGATGTAGCACTTGATACCATGTGTATTGCGATTGTCAGCGATTTTGACGAGATATCGGAAGAATAACGTTATATCAACAGAATAACGTTATATATCGGAAGAAAAACGTTATATATCGGAAGAAAAACGTTGTCTCGAAAGCTTAACGTTATATCGCAAGAATAGCGTTATATGAAGAAAAACGCTATATCGGAGGAAGTTATATCGGAAGTATAATTGACTATTGTAATTAAAGAGGTATTGGAGCTTTGAAGATCCTCCCCGATTTAACATGATGTGACTGTTACAATATATGTCTTAACATAAAGCTAATTAAAAGAGGCATTATACGCAATTTTAACCAGCTCTTATATTTAATTTAGATTGTATGTAAGGTTTCATTGCATTATAAGGTATGTCATTAAGTCAGGTGGCGTGGTTTTGATTCCCCGCTTTACGTGAAAAGGAGTAGGGTAGCCTGTCCAACCTCATGGGGTTTCTCCGGGTCCTCCGGTTTCCTCCCACTGCTAAAAACCTCTGCGCGTACGCGAAATAATGAAATAAAAATAGAACCGTATGTTGGCCCCCAAATGTCCTAGTTGTGTCGAGTAGACGTTAAACCTATGCGTGCTATGCGTCGCTGGTCAGATGTGGAAAGCCACTAAGCCAAAAACTCCCCACGTCCAACGTGTGACGCATACTCTCTTCTGCCACAAATTTTAATAGCCTCGTGGTCGTCTAGTATTGCCTCTGGTAAAAGTACATGTTCCTGAAGCAACGACTGCGAGTTTCACAACATCTGGCCGTTGCTCGTTTACTTCGTTCGTTCGTTTCTAGAGTTTTACGTTCACTTCCACCTAAGGTGATATCGTAGACAAAGATGTTTCCTAAGAAACTTACTGAAGGAAGCCGTAGGGATTAGGCTTGGTCCAGTTTAATTTGAGACATAGTGTCTTAGCAGGGAATGCCCAAGTTAGAAATCTCATCGAATGGAGAGGAGAAAGTTTTTGGGGGGTTCGTTTACTTCACAATTCCCGAACTTACAGCTATGTTATCTACAGACATGTGAGCAGTAGCGTCCAATCAGAGGTTGTGACATCGCGACCTCCACGGAAACCTCGACATTGAATTAACCTTGAACTTTGCAACTCGATTATCACAGGTAGACAGTTTAGCTTGAAAGTGCGAGACTTGGTATTCGCGACGATCGAGGAATCTGATAGGCTCACAAGCTGGGTGAATACCCAATCGAAACTAATGCGGGAATATGTAGGGTATTACATGACGGCCTTGATAAGATGTACGTAGTTAAAGCGAGATCAAGCCTTCTATTGAAGATGCTGATTATATTTGTTTCGTATTCTCTTCTTAGGATTCCTTTTCACGTTGTGTTTTTTCTTCTTAATCTCCGTCGCTAAGACGTTTGTCTACCAGGTACAACAATGCTACAGTTCGTTTCTACATTTTGTATCAAGCCTGGCACATAGGTTACAAGAATAGATTACATTACAAGACTTTAAATTAGCATGTCTTTCTCTCCACCCACTGGGGGATCACGTGGCTACGTGGGTAAGACGCTAGCTCGCTAGCCTGGAGGTCGGGTGTTCGATCCCTGCATTCGCCGAGAAAGTTCATCCAGATTTTCCGGCGTGGTTCTCCCTTGTCAGTGATGCAGGACGGAGGGGCTGACAAGGCAAGCTGTCTAGTCGTTCGGATGGGACGAAAACCCGAGGTCCCGTGTACACATTGGCGTGCACGTAAAAGATCCCTTGGTAGTTGGAATTCGATATAAGAGTAGGCCGTAGTGCCGCTGTCCGGGCAAAATTTCCCTCATAACACACTGTATGGCGTATGCCCGTCTTCATTAGCCCAGGTTAGGAGCAGAACAGTAGGACGTTAAACTCCATTTCATTTCATTTCATTTCATTTCTCCACCCACTAATTTGCAGATCGAGTTTACTGACGAAATGCCGACATCATATGGCTCTCCCACAAATCATTGGGGTCTACTCATCCCAGCTGGTTTCTCTTGAACCTCGGCGGTCTCCCTCGAATTTGGCGGCTGTCTGTTGGTTTCGGCTTTTCATTATCTAATTGGTCAAATATGACGTCAGAGGCGGAGGCGTACATAAAGATTTTGTTGGGGGGGGGGGGTTAATGTCCTACTGTTCTGCTCCGAATTGGGCTAATGAAGACGGGCATACGCCATATAGTGTGCTATGAAGGAAATTTTGCCCGGACAACGGCACTAAGGCCTTCTATTATATCGAATTCCAACTGTCAAGGGATCTTTTACGTGCACGCAAATGTGTACACGGTACCTCGGTTTTTCGTCCCATCCGAACGACTAGAAAGCTGTCCTTGTCAGGCCCTTCGTATCATTATTATAGTTGATCACTCTAATTTCAAGTTCGATTTAGTGGAAGGGTGGTAACCTATATACAGCTAACGTAAGCTACAGAAGATATAATGACTGGGGGTGGGGGTCGTTTCTTGACCTTCGTAGCCAATCCTGGTCGATTTACTGGGAGGTTGCCAATCTAAATACCACCAACGTAAGCTACAGAACATATGATGGCGGATGGGGGCGTTTGCTTCTTGGCCTTTAATATTTAAACGTAGGCTACAGACGATATGATGATAGGCGGACGGGGGGGGGGGGGCTTTATTGATGATATCATCACGTGGGCTACAGACCATATGATGGTAGGATGGGAGTTACGTCACCTTGTTGATGATATCAGAACATAAGCTACAAACGATTTGATAATCGGGTATTATTCTAATGGTCTGATTGCCTTAGGGGTATTTTATGTAATGTTAAATGTAACCTGGAGGTCGGGTGTTCGATCCCTGCATTGGCCGAGAAAGTCCATCCAAATTTTCCGGCGTTGTTCCCCCTTGTCAGTGATTGTAGGACGGAGGGCCCGACAAGGACATCTGTCTAGTCGTTCGGATAGTACGAAAAACAGAGGTCCCGTGTACACATTGGCGTGCACGTAAAAGATCCCTTGACAGTTGGAATTCGATATAAGAGTAGGCCGTAGTGCCGCTGTCTGGGCAAAATTTCTCTCATAGCACACTGTATGGCGTATGCCCGTCTTCATTAGCCCAGTTCGGAGCAGAACAGTAGGACATTAAACCCCATTTCATTTCATTTCATTTCTTGTAATGTTAAATGATGGTTGTGTTAAAGGCTGTTCGAGATTTTTACCCCGAGTGAAAAATACAGTAAACATTTAAAAACAGTTGTTTGTACTGTATGCTTTACACAATGTCCCCCAGCAAAAAAGCAGGTGCGACTAAACATGTTGGCATGCGCGTCTAGGAAAAACTTCTCTGATCGCGTATTCCTCAACTGGGCTAATAAAGACGGGCATACGCCATACAGTATGTTATGAGGGAAATTGTACCGGACAGCGGCTCTAGGACCTACTCTTATATCGAATTGCAACTGCCAAGGGATCCGTTACGTGCACGCCAATGTGTACACGTGACCCTTTTCGTATTCACCAACTGGTCTAAGCTGTGAGGGAAATTTTATCGGACAGCAAGAGTTATTGGAAATTTTACATCACGGGAGCTTGTAACATGACAAATCTCTTTTAGAAATAACATTGCTGTTAAGTTTATATTCATATAACAGATTCAGGCAGGTTATTTGCCCTTGAATTTGATAATCTCGCTGATAAGAATATGGACGCAATAGGCCTTAGGCATAATACTTATTACGGTTTAATCTTATTATCTTAAAGAGATTGTTTATGTTACGCCCACCGATGTTTATGTTACATTTTTTCCCCGAGGCTTGAATAAACTGAAAACACAATTATACTAAATCCAGATAAGGTGGATATGTAATCACAGAGATAACCTCTTGTAGACGAAAGCAGGATCCGCGTAGGGGATCGTTGGGTTTTGAATGTTAGATCTGCTATCTTGGCGTGGATATAGGATTATTGTGTACCACAGAGACAACCTCTTGGAGACGAAAGCAGGATCCACGTAGGGGATCGCTGGGTTTTGAATGTTAGAGCTGCTTACTTGACGTGTATAGAGGATTATTGTGTACCACAGAGACAAACTCTTGTAGACGAACAAAATTCGGAAAGGATCCCTAGATTTGGAATGTTAAGGCTTCTAACTTTCCTTGTATACAAGCCGATATTATATAGCACACAGAAAACGTCTTGGAGAACCGCGGGTGTTGAATGTTCGCGCCCCTAACTTACCGTGCAAATATTATGATATTATATCGTTTATTCAAAGGTATTATTGTCTTCATAATAATACTTATGTTTGCTTACATAAGTATTTATAAGAACATCTTACCAATTGTGGATAGAGTTAGAATCACAACTGAGAGTTCAGTGATTCAGACTGGCCATGTGAAGGAGGATCGGCCTCGTTACCAACTAACAGATGAAAAGCCAATAATGGTGGACAGCGAAGGGGCGACGCAGATATCAAATGGCACAGTAATGGAGGCTCGGTACAAACTAATGAACAACGAGTCAACAACCAAGAGCACGGTAACGGCAAACTTTGACGTAAAGAAGTGCCCCAGCGTTTTGAATTACACGATGTACGGTCATTGGAAGTCGAAAGCCATTAATGCACAACAAAAGATTGAAATAGAGAATTTCGTAACATCTGCAAGGTTAGAACACGGCCTCCCGCCTTCCTTGGAACGAAAGGATAAATTGTGTGGGAACGTAACTTTTCCAACGGACGTAAGACCGAATTTAAAATGGTTCCGTGCTCTGTGTGATCCTAAAGGGGAACACCCATGCTGTGTTAACAATCAGTGTTCGTCCAGATCTGTGGGAGAGTGTCAATGTGAAACGTGCTTTGACATGCGACAGCCATTGCATGCGGAATATTCGGAATGGCTTCCGAGAGAAGAAGGATGCCGTATTAAGTATTTCAACCACAAAGAAGCATGTGACGTGTTAAATGATGTTTCTCTAATTATGGTCGGTGATTCTTTAATACGTCATCTATACACAGCTTTCGTTATGTTATTGAAGAACAACCTAAAGGATGCGGCTATTAGTGACCACGCCCCAACAGGTAACGATATTTCTTCTGGAACACTTAATGTCATTTTATGTACAATATCCGTCCACAATTTCTCATTAACGCTCAATCAATTTTGCCTGATTTATTTACACAATCGTATACTTGCGGCATGCGTATTGAAGACTACTGGATTAATCCGAATTCCCCCACTAACGCAATCTCCCCTCTACGCTCACATTTATGAAATCATATAAACACGACACAGGACAGTGTTGTCAACGGATTTGTTTGTTTTAACTTGATGGAGATGAAGCTTAAAACTGAACTCTAATTACAAAACTACAGAAATAATTAAATAAAAATAATTAACGCCCGAAATAATCGCCATACATGTTTTCGATTTGTAGAACAAACATGGCGATTGTACGGCGTACAAAAACAGGAGCAGGCCACGCCCACATCCAGTACATGCCTTGTCATCCACACTGTCCACATCCGGCTAGTAATATTTCAACTACCAATTACCTCCTGATTGATTGACGTTTTTTCAATCAGTTTACTGAAACTATTATTGCTACACAATTATTATGTCTGATCAGGTACATATTATTTTACTAATTAGACGAAATAAGAAAACCACGATGTACTTTTGCTCTACAAATATGAGAAAAACTGCCTTATTCCAAACAATAACAAATCTACCAAAACCTACCAATGTTTTCTTATTTCTTGAAAAGTTTTACACAACAGCGTAGTAACACCAACAAATTTCTAGTAATATAAAGTCTAGTATTATCGTTCCAAAATATATCCAAAGCAGCAATAAAACTGTTGTTCTCTCCACCAAAGAAGTATGTCTTCACTTCAAAATGTCTTCACCATCTTGTGAAGTAGTTATGTTCCTTGATGTTATGTCAACAACATAGAATTGGTTGGTGTTCGTGGATTTGTTATTGTTTGGGGTAAGGCAGTTTTCTCTTATTTTTAGAGCAAACGTACACCGTGGTTTACAAATTTCGCCATTCAGACATAATAATTGGTACATGTAGTTGAAATATTGCTAGCCAGATGTGGACAGTGTGGTTGACAAGGCATGAACTGGACGTGGGCGTGGCCTACCTCTATTTTTGTACGTCGTACAATCGCCATGTTTGTTCTTCAAATTGAAAACAAGTATGGCGATTATTTAGGGGGTGAATTTGTTTTATTTAATTATTTCTGTAGTTTTGTAATCGGAGTTCAGCTTGAAGTGCAAGCGAATCATTGAATTAAAATTGTACAATATGTCAGTCTCGAAATATCTTATATTGTGTCAAGACGACGTTATCCCAATTTTCTCCACCCACCACCTCTCTCTCTCTCTCTCTCTCTCTCTCTGTTTAATCGAAATTATTTTTTTTTACTTTCAGATGCTAGGCGAAGATGTTCGGGCATGTACATATTCTCAGACAAGAGATGTCGGGCTTACGTCGATCATGACATTCAAAACATTTGTAGTGGACATAATTTCAATTTGAAGTTTTTTGAATATTACAGTACAGGATATTCTGTAAATATAACACAACTCGCCATAAAGATTGTAAACGCACCAAAAACTATTCTACTAGTGGGCGTGGGATTACACGATAACTTAAATTCCAAACATATTCAACGTAATCTTCTTCAACCCCTTCTCAACATTCTCAAATATCAAACATGGCCGAAATTTGTATGGGCCACGCCGCATTCTGCTGGAATTTTAAAAACTGACTCAATTAAAGCACAGAGCAGATCATCTTTGGTCTCATTTATACGAGAAATAGATGAGTATTTAAAAGTTCACAATATAGCCGTGTTTAATACTTTCCACGTAACTAAGAATGTAATGAGTTTTGACGGAACACATTATGGTCTGGGAATAAACTTATTAAAAAGTCAGATTTTGCTAAATTATATCAAAGAACTTAGTGATGGTGGGAGTTTATAATATAAATTAAGTTGTGTTTTTTTTTTATGATTTGTTAATAAATTTATATTACAACATTCAATAAATCTCAGTTCTTAGATATAAATATTTATCACCCAATAATACATTCTACAGTAGATATCGCTAGTGTGATAAATTTCATAATCTACTGCGATATCTCCTTAGGAGATATCGCTTTACATGAATTTGTACGGCGTATTAAAACAGAGACAGGCCACGACCACATCCAATATATGCCTTGTCAACCACACTGTCCACATCCGGCTAGCAATATTTCAACTAACAATTACCCCCTGAACTATTTTTTTTTATTTCAAAGAACAGTTCATTTTTGTATTAAAAGTAACTTATTTCTTATTAAAAAAGGAACTATTTTTATTTAATTGGCCTTGATGGAAAGACTGGGTCAACATAAAGGACTTTGCAATGGCTGAATTGCTGTCAAAAAATGATGTATCACTACGCCATGTAATCAGGTTCAGTAAAAGTGAAATCTATAGCAAATAATTATATTTATTTATTGGTGCATGTAAAAAGGGATTGGGTGATAAATAAAATCTCCTACTCGTCTTTTTTGATATCAAAAAATATCAACGCTCGTCGATAAAGTAAAAAGAAAAAAAAAACTCGGCAGAGCCTCGTTTGTTTTTACTTTATCGACTTCTGTTGATATTTTTTTTATATAAAAAAGACGAGTAGGAGATTCTCTATGTACTCCCCAATTCATTAAAAGCACCCCATGCTTTCCGGCACCCTCCCATTTCGAAGGAGGTCTGCTATTGTTTCGATATATTTTGGGTAGCTTGAAATGCTGAATGGCCGTCAGTCTTTAGTTATGCTTGGTCCTTCCGACCGCCGTGTATTACGCATATACGTAAACTGTTTTGTTTTTTTCCTGGTCAAAAATTTTGTTTTACTTTCCTGTAAAACCAGTAGTTTAGAGAGTCAACCTTCTATTGTATCGTCGCTGTTGTTACTAATTATAGTTACCCCTGCATCCATTGTATCTAACAATGTATCGACGTCCTCTTGTGCACACTTGGGATTGTCTGCTTCGATGACAATCATCAGAATCAGAACCAGTAAGACTACGAGAACGACCGGTATCTGATGTCGAATTGAACTTGTGTGACGAAGGACCTTTGTTCGCTTTGGAGAAGTTGATCTATGAGCAGAGATTCGAGGCATCCGATTAAGTGATTCCTTATGTGGACGTGTTCTGGTGCTTTTACTTCTAGATGATCGCGAGCCAGATTTGTTGGCTAATTTGCAAATAGCCTGTCCCATAGTCTCAAGATGCTGCGACATAAGATTCATAGTATCTTGAACTGATAATAACATACCAGGTTGTTTAGCTTATTTTCCGAGTGTGTCACTGGAACTGGGTACCCCCACTAGATATTTCATCTTCTAAAAGAGCTTGTTCTTCGTCCGTGACAGCATTCAACGCCTTAATAAATAAGGCGAAACAGGCTAACGCAAGGTCGGGTCAATAAAAGCGTAGCAACCAACTAAAAACAGCAGTTGTGTCAACTACAAAATAGTAGAACGAAACAGTAGAACTCAAACTACTTGACCGACAGTGTCTTATGTATCAAGAAGAAATTCTACCAAGAAAAAAAAACCACACAACACGTGGCCACGAAGTTCACGCTCGGAATGAAACTGGATGTCCGCGCCTTCTCACATGGCTTTGTAGTGACGTAACTATGATGATGTAGAATTATAGCTAACCCCCGCATCATGTATAGTCAAAACCGGAAACGAGTCATGGTTTTCGCCCCATATCTAAAATTGCCCCCGAAGAACATTTTGAAAATAGAACGGTCGGCAAAATGTTTTCCAGAGATTCCGACACCCGTGAGTACAGCAATCAACTAATCAATCCTATCGTTGCAGCTTCCAATAATGATGAGACAATTATTGATGGTGCCCGAAAACAAAATGCGCATAAACCAGACTGATTAATCTAGAGTGGCGCTATGCGCTGTTTGCAGGCCTGGAAATAACGGTTTGAAATGTACCTGACAAAATGTCAGGCACTAATTAAATAGTACCTGACATTTTCAACTTAGTGCCGAATATGTATTAAAAATATCAATAAAAAACGACAAATCAGTGCCGGACAAAGTGACAGGCACCAGAGGTTTTGTGCCTGACAAGGCCTGAATCTGTGCCCGACATTGTCTGTGACAGGTGCCTTATTTCCAGGCTTGGTTGTTTGTTACACGATACGGAGAAGCCCATTAGGGTCAATCACGTGAAACAAAAGTGTTCTACCTCCCCACTGCTTCGTTTCACAAATTAATTTAGGAATTGGTAAAAATACATAAACATAAATTCAGCCCGACCCCAAATACCCAGAAAGAAACATATTTATATTTAAGTGGCATTTAGTAGCTTCGCCTTTAACACTACTTGTGTTTTCTCTCTCTCTCTCTCTCTCTCTCTCTCTCTCTCTCTCTCTCCCCTTAAACATATACACTACATTAATCCAACCTCGTGGGTTTTCTCCGGGTCCTCCGGTTTCCTGCCACTGCTAAAGACCCTTACGCGCAAGTAAAATTATGGAAATAAAATTGAACCATGTGTTAGTCCCGAAATGACCTAGTTTGTGTCGAGTGGACGTTATACACCATTTCTCTCTCTCTCTCTCTCTCTCTCTCTCTCTCTCTCTCTCTCTCTCCCCTTAAACATATACACTACATTAATCCTATAAACCGATGTCCTGTGTACAAAGTGGTACACGATACCCCGGGTCTTACAAATTTCAATTATCTTAGACATGGATGTCAATTTGTGGTGAGTAGAATATAGTTGATATAACGTGGCTTAATTCGTGTCTGTATTAGGTAGATCTGGTACACGATACCCCGGGTCTTACAAATTTCAATTATCTTAGACATGGATGTCAATTTGTGGTGAGTAGAATATAGTTGATATAACGTGGCTTAATTCGTGTCTGTATTAGGTAGATCTGGGGGTTGTTTCAATGCGTTTTTGGCTTCAAAATACATTATGGGAGATTAGATAAAGTGCTAGCAGTTCTCACTATAACAGTTAAAAACTAGAGAATGTAAAGGCAATTTGCTGAAAATTTCAGTCAAATTGATCCACTCTGAACCGAGAATTTAGCGATTGAATTTTAGGCCTAGCCTCGATCATCATTACTAAAGTCGGTACGATAAAAACATTATCGATTATCCATTTTTTGATTTAATGATCAATGAGCGTTGAGCAGCAGATCGGATTCTAAGTCATTAAATATCGCATGCTAGCGATGACATCGGGAGTTTATTATGGTCTCGAAAAGTTAATTAATGTCTAATTAATAATTTAGATAACATTTCAGGCCTAAAGAAAGACCCGCAGATTTAGCTCTTGCATAATGTATGTTTAATCTAGTAAAACCACAGACTCTACTTCAATCCATCTCGGCCGTTGATAAAAGGAGCCGAAATCACATTGCAGAGTTTATGCCAACCGTCTGGGGTTCGTTTACGTCCGGGGGGTGGATTGCCGAATGGTTAGCACGTGCGCGCTGTATCATAAAGCCTGTCATTGTGTCAACTGGCGTGGTTTCGAATCCCAAGGAGAGGGAGAGAGAGAGAGAGATTGAGAGAGAGAGAGAGAGGGTTTAACGTCCACTCGACATAACTAGGTCATTTCGGGACTGACACATGGTTGAATTTTATTTCAATAATTCGCTCGCGCGTAGGGGTCTTCAGCAGTGGAAGGAAACCTGAGGACCCGGAGAAAACCCACGAGGCTGGACAGGCGACCCTACTCCTTGTCACGTACAATCGAGGATTCAAAACCACACCAGTTGATTCAATGACAGACCTTATGATACAGCACGCATTTGTTAACCCCCTGATAAAACAATGAATAACAATACCTAGATGCAGCGGTCTTTCCCCATGGATCGATACACTTGCACCTGTAATAGAAAACATGTTATTTTACAGTATATTTTAACATTAAAGACCAATCTTTTAGCCTAAAATGTCACAATCTGATTAAAACACAGTTACTATTTCGTTTCGTTTTTTATAGTTCAAAATTTCGTTTTACTTGTCATTTGTAGTACCACACTAGGATCTGGAAGAGTTGTTATATTACCGAAGTTTTAGTTGAAGTGATGGATTGAGCAATGAAACGGCGACTCCTTGGCGTGCCATGCACAGAACAGTGGGTAAACCACTAGAAACGTCAACGCTGTTTGATTAATCAATGTCTGACGTCACAGCGTCAAAAGCCGCTCGTACGACCTCTGACACGATCTTCGAGTACAACTTGTCAGATCTTCATGTAGTTAGGCCATCGAAAGTATAACAAAAACGAAACGAAATATATAGATCTGTATTTTAATCAGATTGAAAATGTCAGTAAAAATATCGAATTTGTCAAAACTACAATTCAGATTGAAAATGTCAGTAAAAATATCGAATTTGTCAAAACTACAATTTCCGAAGTTCAACTAGACGTGGCCACGGTCATACCTATTTTGTTTTTGGAGACTGCGTGAGATTCGGAAATTTGAATATTTGTTACATCTTGCAATCTATGAAAAAAAATGAAATGGGGTTTAACGTTCTACTGTTCTGCTCCTAACCTGGGCTAATGAAGACGGGCATACGCCATACAGTGTGCGATGAGGGAAATTTTGCCTGGACAGCGGCACTACGGCCTACTCTTATATCGAATTCCAACTGTCAAGGGATATTTTACGTGCACGCCAATGTGTACACGGGACCTCGGTTTTTCGTCTCATCCGAATGACTAGACAGCTGTCCTTGTCAGGCCCTCCGTCCTGCATCACTGACAAAGGGAAAACACACCGGAAAATCTGGATGAACTTTCTCGGCCAATGCAGGGATCGAACACCCGACCTCCAGGCTAGCGAGCCAGCGCCTTACCCACTTAGCCACCGTGATCCCCTTGCAATCTATGAGATATAAACAATAATACAAACAATAATACTTACTGGATACAAGTCCGATGAAACAAAGTACAAGAACTAACGGTAAAACTTCCATGATCACCAACTGCCGTTTAAGATCTGCGTATCATCAATAGGACAGACAGAAATATTTATAGGACTAGCCAAAAATTATAATATGTACATATAACTAATTATGCAATTATCCGACCACATGTTTTGCCAGAATACATTTAACTAGCAGTTAACAGCAGTAGTGCACCGATATGAAATTGATTCTGCAATATACTTAGGATGCAATAAAAACGGAAACGAGATTGACATTATTCGAAAAATAGATATAATTTGGTTTTTATTTATATATATGGATCCGTTTAACTGTAAACTTTGTATTTATCACCCTTATCAAAATATTATTTCATAATTGTCTTCATTTTAAAATTTTATATCTTGGGTGTGAATAATTATTTATCACCCTTGTCAAAATTTTATTTCATAAACTAAACGAGTCACAGATGTTCTTTATGATCAATAATTGCTTTCTTTTTTATACCCACACATTTTATGTGGACGTGTAATGTCGTCACCCCTGTTCGTCCGTCCTTCTGCCCGTTCACATTTTGTTTGTGGACACTCTACAGGTCACACTTTTTATCCGATTTTGACAAAACTTGCGATATGGGTTGATATTCCAAAGATCTCGGTTCCTCTTGATATTGGCGGCGTGTATCGGACCGTAACGTCATGCATTATGACCCCTGATTGTACGCAAAATCACGTTTTAGCCCGTGGCCACTCTAGAGGTCACCATTTTCATCAGATTTTGATGAAAGGTAAAAGGTATGTTTATAACCCAAAGATCTCCAGTCGATATTGGGGCATACCAGATCATAACTTTCTGAATTATGGCCCCTGATTGTGGTCCCTCTAGGCGTCACAGTTGTTTATGAAATTTTAAAAACCGTTCAAATATATTACCTTAATGATGGCTGAGTTCGAATTTCGTGAAAATCCGACCGAAACTTCACGACAAAATGGAAACTTCACGACAAAATGGAAACTTCCCGTACCCAAATAGTGTAAAAGTATGTATTACCAAGGTTATGCACCCTCCCAATTTTTATCCGAAAAATCAATGGTTATATCACATAAATCTAGGTTCCTGTCGATATTTGTGCATATCGGACCGTAACTGATTGTACGTAAAATTACGTTTTTTTGCTTGTGGACCCTCTAGGGGTTGCTATATTTTTCTGATTTTAAAAACCGTTTAAATATATCAACGTTACACCATAAGGACGGTTGATAATGAAGTTCGCAAAAATCAAACCGCTCCCCTCTACGCATATTTTTATCTTTTTGAAAAGTTTCAACGCTCAAACTGCGTTTTAATACGTAGCCTAAGCCGAAAATGCTCATGGTCACACTTAGTCATGGTTTTGATGTAGTATAACTATACACCAAGCAGTGTACAGGACAAAAAGTTAACTCCCTTTCATTTCCCAAAAGACAAACTTGTTTCATACGATTTTTTTATTTCCGTTTTAATTCAGTTTTTGGCAAATGCCTTTAAACCGTCCTCATCGAATCTATAGCATAGCCATCCTTCCTTTTCCGATAAATTTATTGCACCGCTCTTATTGTAGAAATTAATGGCAATGCTGTTCCAGTCTAAAACGGCCCACTGTAGTCTCTTACATCCTTCCTCTACACAAATCTAAAAAAAAACAAAAAACACAATAGATTTAATTCATTGTATGTGTGTGTGTGTGTGTGTGTGGGGGGGGGGGGTAGCACGTGCACGCTGTATCATAAGGTCTGTCATTGAGTCAACACGCGTGGTTTCGATTCCCCGGCTGTACGTGAAAAGGAGTATAGGGTAGCCTGTCCAGCCCCGTGGGTTTTCTCCGGGTCTCCCGATTTTCTCCCACTGCTACGCGCAAGCGAATTATTGAAATAAAATTGAACCATGTGTTAGTCTCGAAATTACCTCCTAGTTTGTGTCAAGTGGACGTTACCCCCGCCTCTCTCTCTCTCTCTCTCTCTCTCTCTCTCTCCGGAAAAATTAGTGACATGACTCATTTCAGAATGTTTTTTGTCCTGGACCTATATATTCGAATGAGAAGATCTTAATCTGTCAAATTCATAAAAAAATCTCGAAACAAAACGAAAGTTGTTAACATCTATACCCCAACGTCATTCACTAACTTCCGGGTGTTGACGTGGACCCGATTATACCGTCCATGCTGCAAATTTTATGACATTTTTCAGACAAATCTACGCACGTGTCAGTCTTGTCAGCCATCTTTGATTAATAGACTAACGGGCAATATACAACATTTTATTGTTGGTGTAGTGACGTCATACCTGTGATAATTTCTTTAGCGTGGCATGACCTATGCCCTTGTGACGTGAGGTAGGTGTGACGTATAAATCTTCCATGTATATACACTTCCCCTCCCAGGTGCTGTATATATAGTAAAATATACAGTAGCCAATTAAACCACTAGATTCACTGCCATCTGAAATAAAAACACAATATCCTATAGAACCGCGGGAATTTCCATAATACAAAAAAATGAGGTTTAACGTCCTACTTATCTGAACCAAACGGGCTAATGAAGACGGTTATACGCCATACTTTATTATTATTATTATTACAGCATATTTATAGTGCACCCTTTCATATAACATGTTCAGGGGCACTTTACAAAGTGACAATGTAAATCATACATAAACAACAAGATTATGGACATATTAACGATTGTATACAGAGTCAGTTAAAAGCCTGATTAAATAAATGTGTTTTAAGTTGGTTTTTTTAAAAGAATATAGAGATGTACAATATCTTAAACTAAATGGTAGATTATTCCATAAAACAGGTGCTTGATAACTAAAAGAGCGCTGACCATAAGAGACTAGTTGAACAGTTTTGGGCTTTAAAAGTAGTTTATCTGATGTACGTAATGTTCGGCCAGGTGTATAAAGTTCTAAAGGATCTGAGAGGTAAATGAAATGAAATGAAATGGGGTTTAACGTCCTATTGTTCTGCTCCTATACTGGGCTAATGAAGACGGGCATACGCCATACAGTGTGTTATGAGGGAAATTTTGCCCGGGCAGTGGCACTATCGCCTACTCTTATATCGAATTCCAACTGCCAGGGGAGATCTGAGAGGTAAACAGGAGCTAAATTATTTAAACATTTAAAAGTAAGTAATAAAATCTTAAAATCAATTCGATATTTAACAGGTAACCAGTGTAAATTATATAAAACAGGAGTTAGGTGGTCACATTTCTTAGTTAAAGTAACAAGTCTAGCCGCAGTATTCTGTACTTTTTGTAATTTATCTATAAGCTTTAAAGGTAAACCAACTAAAAGTGAATTAAAGTTATCTAATCGAGAAGTGACCAGAGAATTAACAAGTGACTTAGTGGCCTCTACAGTTACACATTTACGTATTTTACCTATATTTCTTATATTAAAATAGCACAATTTACAAATATTATTTACTTGAGCTCCCATAAGCATAAAACTATCAAAGATTGCGCCAATATTACGAGCAGAATAGGATGAAAATATATCACAATTACCAATTACAACAGGGGGGTTATCATGTGCAGATGAACTTAATTGATGCCTTGAGCCTAATAACAAATATTCGGTTTTATCATCATTCAATTTTAGAAAGTTCTTTGACATCCATTTTCTAATTTCACTAATACAGTTCTCAAGTTGCAATTTTGATAAATTGAAAGAAGATGGACAATTAGGTGTAAATGAAATATATAATTGAGTATCATCGGCATACAAATGAAAGCTGAGGCCATACTTTCTGACAATATCGCCTAATGGTGACGTATAGAGGGTAAATAAAATCGGACCAGTGTGATATATACTCTTCAAAAAACAGTATGGGATATTCAGAAACAATACAAAACTTCGGAAATGCACTGCTGTTTTAATTAGAGGTAACCAGTGTATGTTAATAACAGGCCAATTGCCTACACATGAACATAAACAGTTCATATGGGCGGCTTATATGACGGCCCCATTTCACTCACAAAGAGATACACCGTCAAAAGTGAAAATGGACGTTTTTGATTTTTGTCTTAATAATGAGTAATAATAGCTCCACCATTCAGCAATTCGTCGTGGCATGCTCTTGCAGTGCCACGGTCAATTCTTGCAGTGTTGTCGGTTGACGTTGACGTTGACGAACACGTCTCCCGATCAAATTAACCGTAACACACTAAAGCAAAGATACGCTAAACAGTAAATCTTATGCAAGAAACGATAGGAAAGCAAACATGGATAGATAAACCAGCCCGCGGCAGTTTTCATCAACTCTTCCTGGAGGTGTCAAATTTGACAAGGAAGACCCTCCCACGTGTATGGCGCTATTGTGTGTCGCATGTGCAGCTCAGTGTTTTTGTTGGGGCGATAAGTTCTTCATCTGTGAACATACTCTTAAAGCATGTCAAATGTCCATGACTATTTATCATATCGCAACCTGCATTGGTATTTGCATTTCAATATCACCTACTTTTTTAAAGAGTATATATATATATAGAGAGAGAATTGAGGTTTAATATTCACTCGACTCAAACTAGGTCATTTCGGGACTAACATATCGTTTAATTTTATTTCAATAATTCGCTTGCGCGTAGGGGTCTTTAACAATCGGGGTGGGGAAACCGAGGGACCCGGAGAAAACCACCGAGGTTTGACAGGCGACCTTACTCCTTGTCACGTACAACCGGGGATTCGAAACCACACAAGTTGACTCAATTCAATGACAGGCCTTATAATACAGCGCGCATGTGCTAACAATTCAACCCCCCCCCCCACGCCCAGTGTGATATAAGAGCACTTATGCGCTTCCGCCTGGTTTTCGCCGAATTTCGTCTGCCAATGGTTCTTTTACTGGACCACCACCGAGTACACTGCTGGGTCTCATTTTTTCTCCCCATCTTATAAATTAGAAGCTTTTCTGGCATTCATTTGGAACTGCTCATCAAACCGATTAGAAATAACAATACAAATTATAAAAAAAAATAATAAATCGAAATCTGTGAAAAAATGCATACATACTACATTAATGTATGCTTTTCGATACATTTTAAGTTTTTAAAGAATAAAACAATGTGTTTATACCTGGATTCAAACTCTGAACGACGAGGCAACGAAACAAAGGATTGGAACCAAATCCATCTTTTCTTAAAGCTAGAAGAAAAAGAGAAATAAACACAAATCTATTTCAAGTCGATATACAGAAGCCTAGAATAGAAACTAGTCGTTTAGTGGAGTATAGAAACAAAATTCTAGGAAAACACGTTGGATCCTCAGTGAATAAAACGGTTTTTTTTGTATTTACTGACAGCGTGACTTATATTTTCTGGAGATTCACTACTGCAGCCTACTCCTATTTGGTTCTACAACTGTCATGGGTTCTTGACACGGGACCTCGGTTACCCTAATCGTCCCATCTGAATAACTAGACGTGTTTTGTTACCAAACACTCGTCCTGCTCTGACAAGGGGGAAACCAGTGTGGTAAATCCCGAAATATTTTCTCGATTAGTGAGCCTCGACATAAACAAGGTCATTTCGGGACTAACACATTGTTGAATTTTATTTCAATAAGTCACTTGCGCCCAAAGGGTCTTTAGCGGTGGGAGGAAACCGGAGGACCCGGAGAAAACCCACGAGGTTGGACAGGCGACCCTACTCATTGTCAGGTACAACCGGGGAATTGAAACCACGCCAGTTTGACAGACCTTATGATACAGCGCACACGTGCTAACCATTCGCCCCCCCTCCCCGTAATTATAAATTGGCTTAGGTTTACTGTTGTCGCTACGAATTTGGTGAGGGCCAAGTTTGAACTCTGACATAGCCCTACCCAGCACTTCAACGAATCGATCGATGCTCCCCAGTCTAGTACCTAGGCTACTCATCGAACAACGGATTGGTCAATGACTAAAGTTTTATATTAAAAGACAATAATGGTGTCAGTCATTAACACATATGTGATAGAACTTGTTAGTCTTCGAAGGAATTACTAGTAAGCAGAATTTCGCCCGTACATCTGTTATCACTCGTCACTTCAGTCAGTTATATAGAGGGATAACTCGTATTTTCCTTTTGAGTTCGTCACTTTCGGTTGTTTGTACCGGCATTACGCATCTATCGTAGCAATGATCTCTGTGTTAAAATTATATTTGCATCGTGTTTAACCAGTTCTATCACATATGTGATACTGACTGACAAAATTATTGTCCTTTAATTATGCAGTCAGTAATGAAAGTTTAAAATCAGACCGACATTAAAATTCTTTTTTTCTAAATCAAACCACAATTGTATAATAAAACTGTGAGTTTATAGTCGAGCTCACTTACTTTCAACAGTCATGTGACACTCCTTCAGCATCTTCTCAAATTCAGCCAATTCCTAAAATCGATAAATATAATATTTAAAACCATTTACAGGATTTACGTACAGATAAAATAACAGCACTTTAGGCCCCCGGGTAAAAAAACAACAACATTGGGGCCGCTATTAACACAAACCACTCATAAGAGAGAGAGAGAGAGAGAGAGAGAGAGAAAGAGAGTTAACGTCCACTCGACTTTAGCACTTTATCTAATCTTTCATAATGTATTTTTAAGCCAAAAACGCATTGAAACAACCCCCAGATCTACCTAATACAGACACGAATTAAGCCACGTTATATCAACTATATTCTACTCACCACAAATTGACATCCATGTCTAAGATAATTGACATCCAGGTCTAAGATAATTGAAATTTGTAAGACCCGGGGTATCGTGTACCACTTTGTACACAGGACATCGGTTTATAGGATTAATGTAGTGTATATGTTTAAGGGGGGAGAGAGAGAGAGAGAGAGAGAGAGAGAGAGAGAGAGAAATGGGGTTTAACGTCCACTCGACACAAACTAGGTCATTTCGGGACTAACACATGGTTCAATTTTATTTCAATAATTCGCTTGCTATGGGTCTTTAGAAGTGGGGGGAAACCGGCGGACCCGAAAAAACCCCACGAGGTTGGACAGGCGACCCTATTCCTTGTCACGTACAACCGGGGAATCGAAACTCTGCCAGTTGACTCAATGACAGACCGCGTGATACAGCGCGCACGAGCTAACCATTCGGCCACCATCCCCCACCCCTCCCACTCATACGAATAACCGCTCACGGGAATAAAACTGCCAGTGGTCGATAAAATAAGTGTTTAAATAGAGAGAGAGAGGGAGAGAGAGAGAGAGAGAGAGAGAGAGCTCAAAACAAACTATGTAATTTCAGGTCTAACCTATGGTTCAATTTTTATTTCGCCTATGGGGAAAACTAGGAGGTTGGACAGGTAACGCTACTATGTGTCACGGACATCCTCGGAATTGAAACGACGCAACTGAAGGACAAACCTTATGACCATTCGGCCACAGAACTTAAATGATGTGGTTTAACGTCCACTTGACACAAACTAGGTCATTTCGGGACTAACATATGGTTCAATTTTTATTTCATTAATTCGCTTGCGCCTAGGGGTCTTTAGCAGTTGGGGGGGGGGGGACCGGATGACCCAGAGAAAACCTACGAGTTTGGACAGTAGACCTATTCCTTGCCACGTACAACACGTACAACCGGGGAATCGAAACCCCGCCAATTGACTCAATGACAGACCTATGATACAGCGCGCACGTGCAACCATTAGGCCATCTTTAGTAGTGGAAGGAAACCGGAGACCCCGGAGAAAACCCACGAGGTTGGACAGGGATCCTATTCCTTGTCATGTACAAATGGAGAATCGAAACCATGCAACTTCACTCATGGACAGACCTTGTGATACAACGCGCTCGCGTTAACCATTCACCCCCCCCCCCATGCTTCTTAAAAACGGCTGTGTGCCGCGAGATCTTCCTAAGTGTGCCGCAAAATTTTGAACGGCACATTAACAAAATTTCTCACTAAAGAAGCCAGCTATTTGACTGATGAAATTAAAAACACTGAAATAACGTAAGTTCATAGCTGTGTTTTTCTTTATTTAGTTCGAGTCATACTATGTGTCTATGGCTAATCTGCCGTCTATGAATTGCCATGTTTTTATTTTGCAAAATTCAAATATTTTTTCATATATATTTAGCCATGTGTGCCGCTATTTTTTCATGTGTTCCAAGGTGTGCTCTATGTTTTCCCCAAGCGCTTCATAGCGACAGTGACTAAAGGGAGTTAACTCCAAATAACAAATTATACAAGAATATATGGTCAATGTTCGTGCACGTTTAAATTACACGTTTAAGTCCACTATTTTAATAGATTACCTGAATAAGTCGTAATATTTCTTCACAATCATCAACTCTAGCTCCTCTGATTCTATAGTCAGACATTGTTTATCGTCTTTAATACTCTCTAAAAGACTATCATCAAGTACAGCAGTAATTGTCAAATTCGCGGTGTTTTAAACCGAGTTGTCTTTCCTTACATTAGGATTCAGACTAGTGATTATATCCTCATTTAATTCAATGTTAAATGCATGTCATGTTTTTGGTCTGTAACATTTTTTGAACATTCTGGTTTATCTTTATAACAACAAAGACCCCAATAAGCCACAATTGATTGGTACAAATATTGAAGGGCGTTGACAATCCCGATTTCGTTGTTCTCCAGATCAAATGAAACTAAATACTGTATCGTCAGTTTCGTGGGTGATTTCCCTAATCTTTAGACCTGTTTACCACTCGATCCGTTCGCCTAAATATCATTAATATTCACCAAAACCTGATAGCGTTAGACCCCCAGCATTGACAATGTGATGATGTAGGTCAATATAAACCCGCTCTCACAATCATGAATATATTGGCATGGTAAACGTGACTATTATGCCGTCTATACACCTAGGTGTTCTAATCCATTCAATAGAGTCGAGCTACTAGTAATAAATGCCAGCCACTCGAGTTACTAACTAAATATTATATAAGCTTGGACCAGCCACTAACTAACTATTTTGGAGAGAAAAAACAGTTCGTATTTCTAGTAATATTGAGCAACACGTATTATCTATTGCTTGGGGTTTATCTTTCAAGGTAAGGCCGACTTATTGAATATTTCATTGCGTTATTATTGCCTAAATTATGATTTAAATTGCAACCTTGGTAGGATGTCGGTCCTCATCGTTTCCACAGCATTGCAGCCAGTCCCGGATTTAAATGAAGAGAGGCGATAGGTTACCCCCCGGTTGGTGCAGACAAGAGAACATTAAAGACCCCCTCCCCCATCCCTCTCCCCATCTTTCATTTTATTAAAAGACAAACTAGTTTCATATCAATTCTTTTTATTCCAGTTTTCATTCAATTTCCTTCAAACCGCCCAAATAGACCTTTCATTTTCCGATGAATTTATTGCACCGTACTTTTTGTAGAAATTGAAGACAACGTTGTTCCGATCTAAAGCAAGGGGTTGGATGGCCGGATAGTTAGCACGTGCGCGCTGTATCATAAGGCCTGTCATTGAGTCAACTGGCGTGGTTTCGATTCCCCGGTTGTACGTGGCAAGGATTAGGGTTGCCTGTCCAACCTCGTGGGTTTTCTCCAGGCCCTCCGGTTCCCTCCCACTGCTAAAGACCCCTATGCACAAGCGAATTATTGAAATAAAATTAAACCATATGTTGGTCCCGAAATGACCTAGTTGCGTCGAGTGGACGTTAAACCCCATTTCTCTCTCTCTCTCTCTCTCCATGCATCCGGTTTGACTCTAAATTCAGAAACAATTGACGTTTCGGCGATATAACTGCCTGTACCATTCAGTAATTGAGACTATTACTGCCAAGCGATATACCTATACTGAATATTTCATAGTCAATAACGGCACCATTTACTAGTAAACATGGTTTCCAATGACAACTAATAAACCTCATAGTTAAGAGTTCGCAAATCAAAAGTGTACGTAGATCAATAAGACAGAAACCCCCGCGCTGTCTGAGACCATTTTCCGTCGCAGTAGCAGTGCAGTAAGGACGCCACCCAGGTCTGACGGCTATTATACACAGGTAGAAAGGTAAGTGAATCAATTATGTTTTAAGATTGGGATAACATATTTTGATGTTCAGTAGAAATGAATCCAGATCAATATCAAACATACACCCGTTGAGTGAAGTCCATGAATACATTGATTATATACAGGAACGAGTGGTGTAGAAGCTAAAGGAATCAATTAGTTTTTAAATGAAATGAAATGGGTTTAACGTTCTACTGTTCTGCTCCGAACTGGGCTAACTAAGACGGGCACACGCCATACAGTGGGCTAATAAACATTAGCTTATAAAATGTTTAGTTGTTAGTCGTTCGGATGGAAATCGAGATAAGTGCTGCAGGTTAAATCTCCCTTACAGCCCAGTTCATTTCATGTCATTTGGTTTTGGGATTCATTAATTCATTAATAGTCGTCATCATCTCGTGTTTTATGGAAGGAAAACGTTGCCAATATTATTGCAATGTTCACGGTGCAAAATAGATATGTCGGCAGTTCAAAATATGTAGGGGGTTTAACGCCCAACTTTTCTGCTCCAACCGTGTTTATCAAGATGCGCTAACACCTTGCAGTGTGCCATGAGGGGAAACTTGGCTCAGAGATCTGCATTTCGGACAACTCTATATAGAATTCCAGCTGCCAAGCTTTCATTTACGTGCACGCCAACGTGTACACGGGAACTTGATATTTCGTCCCACCTCAACGACAAGACGCTGTTTCTTGTTATCCCCCCCCCCCTCCGCCATGCACTACTACCAAATGAAACCCGCCCTGAAAAATCCTGAGGTACTCCTTAAGCCAATAACTGGATCGAACCCGCGACGCCCTGGTCTTTGGGGTCATGGGAGTTGACATGCCATGGTCGTTTGGATGGTACGAAAACCCAAATCCGCCCACATAGCATTGCGAGTTTTATAAATAATACTTGTATTAAAATTTATAGAACAGAACACTTGCTCGAACATGTCCGCTGTGATGCATTTACAAATATAATTTACATAAAATAAAGAAAATAAATCGATACGATGTCAGTAGAGCAGGACGAAAGATCTGGCGAGAAACTTCATGTAGTCTGGACGGCAAAGTTGAACGGAAAAAGAACCCTTGGCAATTGAAGAGTCCAGATTTTTGAGCAAGAATGCTCGACGCGAACAGAACAGCGAGTGGGTTTAATTACGACTTCAAAGTGATGTTTAATACGAATCATAATTACCAGTGCAACAACTGACTTCCACGTTTCAGCCAAATTAAGGTCAAATAAATACGATGGACTTGTATTTGTCCGGGAGGTCATTTCACAAAGGGCCTTGGTCGATGAGACCCCGGTCGTTTTTACCTGAAATAGATTGTTCCACAGAAAGTTTATACAATTTGCTACCAGATGGCGCCATTAACTGGGGTTCATTGAAAAAGTGACTCAGATTGTTCTTCCCCGGGGCTCTTCAATTGGAATCTGACGAAGTGTAGAAGGATTAACTGCCACTGTCTGGGCAAAATTCCCCTGCATTGCGTTTGGCCACCTTCGTTAGTCTATATAGCTGATCAAGACTAATAGGACGTTAAACGCAACTTCATTTAGCTTCGATTATTGTTTTGTTTAGAGTGTGAATTACTCAGGCAGATCCATGACGCATTTACAAAGATAATGCAAACACATAAAATATAAATTATACAAAGTAAAGAAAATAAATCGATACAAAGTAAATTGAAAGGAAAATATGAACTGTATGAATGTTAAGCCCCTGTCACACCAAACTAGTTCTAATTACGTTCTGGAAAATGCTTCCAAACGGTCTTCAACTGTGTGCGAGCGGCGTGAAGCTAGTAGCAACTGTTTACGACCTGTTCTAGAACTTTGAGCTTGTTCAAAATTTTCGCCGTCCTCCAATTAGACGGAGGGGCAAGTTTCTTAATACGAGATGGACGTACTATGAACGGAATCGCCGTACGGATTTGCCGTACTATGAACGGAATTACCGTACCATGAACGGAATTAAACCGTATCCCCATCCTACTAGGGACGTGTTAAAAAGTGGCGTAGTCGAGAATCAATAAGCAGTATTTAATTTTATTTTATTTCGTGGTGATGGGTGATTTTTCTTTTTTTAGTTTTTTTTCTTATTGAATATAATATATTTTTACGAGTATTGAATTTATAGGGTTGTGGAACTAATTCATTTGGTGGAGAATAAAACTATGGCTATTTAGCCTTTTTTGCGTAATTAAAAAACCCATAATTTATACTCAATTATCTTTTAATGTTACTGTATATAAAACCTTTCATATTTGAATTCATTATTAGTGTGGTAATTTATTTATTTCTATAATTTAATGTGGATGGATTTTAATGTGAAGCTGGGCATCAGACTGGCATCCACAACCACCAACATCTCTCCACATCTTCCCAAGCCATTTACACTATTGAGCAGAAGCCATTGTAGTTGTGGTACATGGTTCCAGTCTTGGGATGCTTGTTGGTGGATATATGTTTTCCATCCAGGGCACCACCATACTCCTCGCAGTGCTTCGTTTGATTAGACCTAATCCCACTTAAATACTGCTGTAATGGAAGCATATTTCTGTTCCAAATTACGACTGGTCAGTAGTCCGATTAACAACCAATAGCTAACTGCGTAACAATATCATTCAGGTTTAAACAGGGTTCCAAATTGAACCAAATATGTTTACATAACGTTACGTCATGACTCACGATTTTATTATGCCCAATTAACCAGTGCATAACAGAATATTGCAGAAAAACTAATTGCGTGACAAACGAGACTATCAACATGGATACAATGTAAACAATACTACTTGGAGACGAACAAATCATTTTCCTCATAGCACACGTATGGCATATGTCCCATGTTCGATCCCTACGTTCACCGAGAAAGTTCATCTGGATTTTCTGATGTGGTCTCCGCTTGTCAGTGGCGCAGGGCAGGGGGACAAACAAGGGATACTGTATTATTGTTCAAATGGGACGAAAACAACCGAGGTCCCGTGTACATATTGACATGTACGTAAAAGATCCCTTGGCAGTTGGAATTCGAAAAAATGAAATGAAATGAAATAAAATGGGGTTTAACGTCCTACTGTTCTGCTCCTAACTTTGCTTGAGGTTAAAGGGAGATAACACAATTTAATATGTTTACATCCACTACAATTGGCCATTTATTTGGAAATGAAATGGGGTTTACCGTCCTACTGTTCTGCTGCGAACTGGGCTAATGAAGACGGGCATACGCCATATAGTGTGCTATGAGGGAAATTTTGCCCGGGCAGCGGCGCTACGGCCTACTCTTATATCGAATTCCAACTGCCAAGGGATCTTTTACGTGCACGCCAATGTGTACACGGGGCATCGGTTTTTCGTCCCATCCGAACGACTAGACAGCTGTCCCTGTCAGACCCTCCATCCTGCATCACTGACAAGGGGAAACCACGCCGGAAAATCTAAACCCCCTTTCATTTCCACTATTGCTGGGGGCCGGGGTCTGATACAGCAGGTATAGATCCAGGAGAGGGGGGGGGGGGGGATACAGCGAGGCTGGGGTTCGATATAGGTGGAATAGCTCGACCCACACCTGGGTGCGTTACCCGATATGCCAGAGCCGTCTTCATTGGTTTTTTTTTTACACTTTTCAGGGTCTCAGTGCTGACATTGACTGATTTATACTTAGCTAAAAGAGTACGACTTTACAAGACTGTTGAAGAAAATGGTTTTAAAACTTAACAAAAGGTAAGTAATTATATGCCAATGTCGTCGATACGTAGTTAAATTGTTGTATGAATTTAATCTTAGGGTCAATCCACGTCAATTTGACCAGCGGGGAAACCCACCGTCATCGATTTCGCTCATAATTTTTTTCATGGAAGTGTTGCCTTATGAAACCTCTCGATCCAAAATATTTCCCAATAATTCCGATAATTTAACATTTTGTAGACATTTTTCAGAGAGAGAGAGAGAGTGAGAGAAATAGGGTTTAACGTCCACTCGACACAAACTAGGTCATTTCGGGACTAACATATGGTTTAATTTTATTTACATAATTCGCTTGCGCGCAGGGGTCTTTAGCAGTGGGAGGAAACCGGAGGCCCCGGAGAAAACCCACGAGGTTGCACAGGCGACCCTACTCCTTGCCACGTACAACCGGGGATTCGAAACCACGCCAGTCGACTCAATGACAGACTTTATGATACAGCGCGCGCACGCTAATCATTCAGCCATCCAACCCCCCGACATTTTTCAGAGGTGGGGTGTTTCTAAACCTGTGTGACCTGAAAAATGAAAAAATGTCAATAATTTCCAAATTTCAGCTTGATATTTCAAGTAATTTGCAAAATTTGTAAGAGTCGGAATTTTTCGAAAATATTTTGGATCAAGAGGTTTCATAAGGGAACACTTCCATGAAAAAATTATGAGCGAAATCGATGACGGTGGGTTTCCCCGCTGGTCAAATTAAACCACATGTTAGTCCCAAAATGACCTAGTTTGTGTCGAGTGGACGTTAAACCCCATTTCTCTCTCTCTCTCTTACAAAATACGTCTCCCATCGACGCTTATCTAGGTCACTGAACCATTTTTGGACTATTATGCACTTTAAGAGATTTTACATTCAGAGCATTACATCTATCGTTTCTCAATTTTGTCCGATTTAGAGCATTTTTGCGATCGTTGTATAATTTATGTTTCTTTTTTTCAGATCACTATGTTATCGTCATCGACATTTAGTCGCTATGGTGATATTTATGGCGGGAATTATTATTTATCTGAAATCGGATTTGTGGGTCAGTAGTTTTACGACCAACCTAACCCCAACATCTCAACACCACTCAACTTATCAACAGATAAATAGTTCGCCATTGATTGTTTCCAAAAATGACAAATCTGATAAGATAAACAAGACTGATTCTTTGGTATAATACTCTGAGCTACGTCAAACGTGCTCCACAGTTTAACCGCACTCTGCTCCCTAGGAGCAACACACTTTCACACAGCAACTTCAAATAAGCTACCTTCTTCATTACTCCAGTTGATAGAGAACAGTATTCATTTCAATTCATGGGGATCACGGTGGCTAAGTGGGTAAGACGCGCTCGGGTGTTCGATCCCTGCATTGGCCGAAAATGTTCATCCAGATTTTCCGACGTGTTTTCCCCTTGTCAGTGATGGAGGGCCTGACAAGGACAGCTGTCTAGTCGTTCGGATGGGACGAAAAACCGATTGCCGCACGTAAAAGATCCCTTGGCAGTTGGAATTCGTATGCCCGTCTTCATTAACCCTGTTTAGGAGTAGGACGTTAAACCCCATTTCATTTCATTTAATTTTAAATACGATCCCACTATGAAGTTGTAGTTCTGCAACACACGTCACATTGCTGGCAGCCAGCATCTTTCCCACCTTTTCTGATGGAGCATCAGATTAGATACCAGTACAAGTTCTGTAGTTATCTCACAGATAACGCCTTTCTTATGGTGCACCTGTGTAACATGTGATTTTTTCAAAGATTTTGACATCGTTTTTTTTTTCTTCATATTTTTAATTTTTTTTTAATCTTCTTTACTTTTCTTCCTATTTGTTGCTAAATCTTATATATTTTACTATCAAACATGATCGCATTAAAATACCTTCTGATGTATGCCTATATAATAAAAGAGAAAGGTAAGACACTTTTCGGTTGACATTTTTTTCACCGTGAGGTACCCCTGTCGCTATTTAATTCAAAATCGTGAATAAAATTGTCTTGCCTTACAAATCAGCCACTCAGTTCCTTTCGATATATATTCCATTCGATAAAAACACATATTTCAAATTTTTAAAAAAATGCTAAGTCATATTTTTACATCGTTTTTTTTCTTCATGCTAAGTCATATTTTTACATCGTTTTTTTTCTTCATATTTTTTAAATTTTTTTAATCTTCTTTACTTTTCTTCCTATTTGTTGCTAAATCATATAATATTTACTATCAAACATGATAATTATTAATGTTTTATTTGTTTGACGTCACCCGGTACTACCACATTCTTGACCCTCTTCTTCTTTCTGTATAAAACACTGAAAAAGAAATGTCCAAATTCTCAAATTGATTTGAAACGATCAATCCATTAACTCTAAAGACGAAAGCAAATACTACCTTCCAGCTTGTTTAGAACGTCTCAAGCTTTTCAAACGATTTCGCGGATTTAGTAGGTATAGGTTGATTTGGCGTCGAATGTGAATGTAAGTACAATAAAGAGAGAGAGAAATGGGGTTTAACGTCCACTCGACACAAACAAGGTCATTTCGGGACTAACATATGGTTCAATTTTATTTGAATAATTCGCTTGCACGTAGGGGTCTTTAGCAGTGGGAGAAAACCCACGAGGTTGGACAGGCAACCCTACTCCTTGTCATAAATACAATAAGGGTTAAAGATACATTCCTACGAAAGTATTTATTGGCTAGTTAAATTCCAATAAAAGTATGGCAAATTTGGTATTTATGGCAAGTAGAGACACCCAATCTTATCTCACCCCTGGTGGAAGTGAACGTAAAACTCCAGGAACGAACGACCCAATCTTATTATAGCAAAATACTGGTTCCCCTGAAAAAGACCCATGGGACGCCGATAGAAGAAATATGCAAGGATGTCACTAGTAGCAGCCCGTCTCCTCGAGTGACGTAAGGATCGCTTCTTATAGGTAACAGTTGTGGCAATTTTGAGAGACTTAAACGTCCAGTGGAGTCTGGGAGTTTGCAGATGATAATCCAAGAATTTACTTAGGATTTGGTAAATGGACAGCGACCAAAGACAAATACAAGCTAAGTCACGTGACAAACAATACTTCTAAAATTGATTCTTGTGGCATGGGGTACTTTCCTTTGGATTAAAATGTTTAGAGAGGAATTTGAAGCAAATTTTGATAGATAAATCCAAATATATCATGCAATTACACAGTTTGTACGAGGGAAAACTTCTTTAAGTAGCAAGATAAACGAAATTAATACTTTACCAAACAACCAGCGACATCAAAGTTATCAAAATTATTACTGCTAATATGATACCCACGATAAAACCAGTTTCTGAAATAACGGACAAGGACCATATCAGACATATTATATAAATAAACTTTTCGTCCGTAGATGAAGCATGTATAACGGTCAGTTTATATCCACAAAACATTAAACCATATAGAGCTCGACCCATCACATATCAGATTCATTTGATTTTGAACCAAATTATAGACCAGGGGAGCATTAAACAGGTCATTTCCGGACTAACTTATCGTAAGTTTTTCGTTCCGGACTAACTTATCGTAAGTTTTTAGTTCAATTATATGCACCAGTGTGGGTGTGTGTGGCGGGGTGGGGTGTGGGGCATAACCTTCAATCGGCACACATTTGGTTATTTTGGGCAGGGAGTTCATGAGCTGAGGCACAATCACCTGAATCACTGACAGGACTTATGGTCTAAAGTGCACACATTAGACCGCTCGACCACCCAACCAGCATGTAATGGTCTATTGGAAAAGAAAAACGAGGGATTTGTTAATTTCTCATCCTCAAATATTCACAGTTATCACCATATGATGTTTTGTGAAATCATGGACTGACCTTTAAACACACATTATGCAAGAGCTAAATCTGCCTATTGCAAGTCTTTATTTAGGCCTGAAATGTTATAGAAATTATTAATAAGACCTTTATTTACACGACAAGCTTAAAATCAACTCTGTAGACCCACGGATGGATTTAAACAGTAGTTCATTTAAAATTAAATCAATAAATGACGGACCAAGCTAACGTTTACCGTTAGTCGCTGATGTCACTACCGGAAACTGGTGATTAAAGGTCTGCGAAGCGAGTCTACCATAGCCATTGAGCATGTTACTCTATAATCGAGAATATGTGGGTGAACTTATCGTCTGTCAATGAAACGATCACCAATTCTCATAGACAATTGATGCCTATTTCTAGTCCAAACTTCCAACAGTGGCAATTCCGTTCAGAAGAAAGTAAGTTAATTGACTGCAATTTTCAACACTTTCTTTTTTTATCATCTATTTTTGAATTATTATAGCAAGAATGGCCAATTCTTTATAAAACTCTTAACTAATGTATCTTTAATATTTCTTTATGCTGCCATGACTTTATGTCAGATTTGTGTGCTAAAAAACTATATCTTGACTCACTTACATTTATATACAAAGTATAGTGGGAAAATATATACTTACATCTTAGCTCCGGCGTTTAAATAAAGCAAAGCTCTTTGCCTTTACGCGAGAACAGATCTTTCAACAAGAGTAAAGTAAGCTAGGTTACACCCTACCTGGATCTACGTCTCGATTTTGACAATTGCCATAAACTACATGTAAGTGTTAAATTGTACGATAAACGCGATGACTTTGACTTTCCGATTGTTAACTTTCCATTTATTAGTAGTAACATTCCAATATCACCAGCTTATGAGTGTTTGTGTCTCAGCTAATACGTTACGCGAGAGCTTGTTCATTTTATTCTGATTTTATTTTAAGTAGATCGAGGCATTTGTCATCTAAGCTTCACCACAGGGATACTTGCGCACTAAACTTATAAAAACCTTTAAACAGTTTTATGGCCGTCATATTGACTTGATTGGTAAATATAACATGTCTCTCTCAGCTATTATTCTAGATATATTAAATTGACGCGTATACCATCTCCCTGATTATGTCTACTACATCGTTAACACTGTTCACCACGTGCATTTTGCATACCGATAGTCCATTGACCAATCACGCTATTTTACCGAGATTTCGTCTAATAGTTTGGATGCAGCTATGGCGGTTGTGGCGCCAGGCAGGGTAAGCTTACTCTTCCGGACACCTGTTACCACTATTTGTCGTGTATTTTGTACACGGTGAACAGTCCATTTGCTGATTACACTATTTTTTTTAGGACTTCGAATTTTGTCTTATGGTTTGGATTGGTCGTACTTGGTTTTATTTTATTTATCCATAAAGAGCAGCACCACACAAGTGTCAACGCCACTTGAGACCAGAATACTCACCATCTTCGGATGAAGGTGAAGTTTGGCTAAAATTATTATTGGGTGTCGAACTCTTAATGTTTGATTTACCAGTATTGTCGGTGTTCGTACCAGTTGTCGGTACTGTAGCTGTTGGAGTTTGGCTAAAATTATTATTGGGTGTCGAACTCTTAATGTTTGATTTACCAGTATTGTCGGTGATCGTCCTAGTTGTCGGTACTGTAGCTGTTGGAGTTTTGCTACATTCAATATTCACTTGTGATCCTGAAATATATAAATGAAATGAAATGAAATGAAATGAAATGAAATGGGGTTTAACGTCCTACTGTTCTGCTCCTAAACTGGGCTAATGAAGACGGGCATACGCCATACTGTGTGCTATGAGGGAAATCTTGCCCGGGTAGCGAAGTTACGGTCTACTCTTGTATCGAATTCCAACTGCCAAGGGATCTTTTACGTGCATGCCAATGTGTATACAGGAACTTGGTTTTTCGTACCTTCGGAACGACTAGACAGCTGTCATTGTCAGGCCCTCCGCCCTGCATCACTGACAAGGGGAAACCACGCCGGTAAATCTGGATGAACTTTCTCGGCTAATGCAGGGATCGAACATTCGACCTCCTGGCTAGCGAGCCAGCGTCTCACCCAGTTAGCCACCGTGACCCCCTCTTAAATAATAACATGAAATGGGTTTAACGTCATGCTTTTCTGCTCCTACTTAGCTAATGAAGAAGGGAAATTTTGCAGCACTACGGCATACTCTTATATCGAATTCCAACATCCAGAGGGCCTCGTTTTTCTTTCCATCTGAACAACTATACGCTGTCCCTTGTCAGGCCTCGGTCCTGCACCACTGACATGGAGGAACCACGTGGGAAAATCCAGGTGAACTTTCTCGGCCAACGAATGGATCGAACAAGGAACCACCGCACCTCCCAACGACGACTCTTAAAAACAATGGCTTAAAGTTACAATTTCATATTTTTAAGTTATATTTTTAAAATGTATTAAAATAAAGCCTTAAAGCGACAATTTCAATTTTTCTAAGAAAGTCAAAACATAATTATTTCTATGTCTTTTGCTCAATAGGTTGTCAACTCACTATTATACAATTATAGGTATTATTCCCCCTTTATTTTAATAAATTTTAAAAATATAACTTAAAAATATGAAATTGCAGCTTTAAAATAGATGGTATCTATAATCAGTCCTGCCTTGTTAAAGAACAATCCTATTAATCCTATAATTCACTATTGCCAGTTGAGAAATTGGCAAAAATATCATTTTCAACTTCAAATTCAAACGTTTGGAGATAGCTATTCCATGGTGGGGAATAGAAAACTTGGGAGGTAATTGTGTTATTATTTCCGGTGTGAAGATTTTTAAGTGTGAAATAGATCGTATAATAGTGAGTTGACAACCTATTGAGCAAAAGACATAAAAATAATTATGTTTTGACTTTCTTAGAAAATATGAAATTGTAACTTTAAGATTATAGTTGACATATTGAGTCTATGAAAACGATCGAAAATGAAACATGGTTTCAAAGATGGCAACGACGTTTCTTGTTGTTTCCCCGACTCTAATTCGGCCGGGGATTGCGGTGGCTAAGTGGGAAAGACGCTGGCTCGCTAGCCTGGAGGTCGGGTGTTCGATCCCTGCATTGGTCGAGAAAGTTCATCCAGATTTTCCGGCGTGGAACTCCAGTGTCATTGATGCAGAACAGAGGGTCTGACAAGGACAGCTGTCTAGTCGTTCGGATGGGACGAAAAACCGAGGTCACGTATACACATTGACGTGCACGTAAACGACCCCTTGACAGTTGGAATTCGATATAAGAGTAGGCCGTAGTGTCCGGGCAAAATGACCCTCATAGCACAATGTATGGCACATGTCCGTCTTCCTGAGCCCAGTCGGTGCAGAACAGTAGGACATTTAACCCTTATTTCATTTTCATTTCTTTTTCTTAATTCGGCCTTTTCCATAATTTGACGATTAAATTATCTGTGCATGTTTAGCTAAATTATGTGCAATGGCGTTGCTTTGGCAAAGTTAATCGAACCCGGTTACAAAAAAATGGTCATTTTCGGTGTTTCTCCCTATCCCCTCTATCTTACTTACCCAGTGTACTGGTTATCTCTAGACAGAATATGGCACCAATATTACTAGTCCCTTTTTGAAGTTTTAACAGCACCTCTTCTCCTTCTATTAATTCATATTGTACATTTTGTTCATAATTACCACACGAGAAAATTCGTTTCACGTTAGTTTTATAAGTCGAATCTATATTGAAGTCACAATTACTAGGCGCCGATGTGATATTGGCTATTGATATGGTTCCTTGTCCAAAACCATCGTTGATTAATTGTAGAGCACATCCACATCCAATTCCATCGTCGTTATCCAGAACACCTGTCAGATGAACACTTCGTCCTTGTTGTGACGAAGATTTGCAGACCGAAATTGAAGCAACTGAAATGTATGCAATTTAAAGTATTAGTATAAACTACGATGTATATATTTGCTGTGAACGAATTAGATTGTAACGATGTTTGCCGACAAAAGATACAATTTCAAACTGTACTGGCCACGAGAACTTCTCAGTTGAAGAGTTATTAGGTTGTTAAAATATCCTGCCCACCATCTTAGTTGAAAATGAAATGAAATGAAATGGGGTTTGACGTCCTACTGTTCTGACCCTATGATGGGCTAATGAAGACGGGCATACGCCATACAGTGTGCTATGAGGGAAATTTTGCCCAGGCAGCGGCACTATCGCCTACTCTTATATCGAATTCCAACTGCCACGGGATCTTTTACGTGCATTCCAATGTTTACACGGGACCTCGGTTTTTCGTCTCATCCGAAGGACTAGACAGCCATCTTAGTTAAGCAATAGTTTCGATTTGTTAAACCCCGGTTAGTAGTAGAATAGTTTAACTTGGATTTAAAAAGCCGAATGCCAATAATAACGGTCACCAATTCAAGTTTAAAAACATAGAATGACGCTGCACTGAAATCAAATACCCTTGTAGAGACTACCTTTCAGAAATATATATTTTTTTTGTCTTGTGATAGCAAGGGTTATATTGACTTTCCCGGAATTAAATCAAATAAAATTCCCCAATTGTCTGCACCATGACGTAATCGGCAATACTTGGGCTTAAATGATGCTTACGGTACGAAACTTAAGCAGTTTATCGACAATGAGCTCAGCTTGAGAACAGACATGAAGTTAATTGACCGACATTTTAATTCCTAAATCGACTACTTTAGTCCAAAACATGAAATTTCTGGAAATTGGAGAAGTATTTATTCTGCTTCCATTAAATAAAATTGCAAATGTTTATTTAGTCGTTTGTGTGTGAAAAGGGGTAGAATCGCATTACAAAACAGTATACTATTTCTTTAATATGGCGGTCTCTGTGTGTAGAACGGATACTTACTTGAATTATCACAGTTAGTTCCATCTGAAAATATAAACAGACAGGTGAGTTCATTTTTTTAATGTTGTGAATGGCTCGTAACTTAACTATAGGTCATTTTCTTTTATCGGAAAAAAATCTGATAAAAATACAGATCTATATTTCGTTTCGTTTTTTATACTTTCGATGGCCTACACTACATTAAGATCTGACCGGTTGTTGCGATAGGTCACGTTAGAGGTCATACGGGCGGCTTTTGACCCTATGACGTCAGACATTTGATTAACCAATCAGCATTAATGTTACGAGTGGGTTACCCACAGATCCGTGCAAAACACGCCAAAAGCTCGCCGTAACAGACCGTTTCATTGGCGAATCGCTCACACCATTTAGAACACATCAATGATAACAACTCTTCCAGATCCTAGTGTAGTAAAGGCAAGTAAACGAAATGGGATCTGTGATTTGATCAGATTGAACGGAAAAAAAATATGCGTTTTACTCGTCTGATCTTGGAAAAATGAAATAAAGTGAACTTGTGTTTAACGATTCTGCGCCAACCGGGCCAATGAAGACGGTACAGTATGATACAGGGAAGATTTTGACCGGACTGTGGCGCATCCGTTTACTCTACATCGAAATCCAACTGTTAAAAGTTCTATTACGTGCATGCCAATGAGTAAATGGCTGGGTAGCGGTTTTTTGTCCCATCCGAACGACTAGACACATTTTTCTCCACCAATCGTGGAAACCAGGCTCTAAAACCCCACAGAACTGTCGCGGCTAACATCGAAATATTCTGGTCGTTTTGTGAGCCAACGTCATTTACTGAGTCACCTTCTTGAATAATTTTCGAACACCGCCTATCCTATATTGGCCAATTTTTAAAATACAAGCTCAATTGGCATATTGCTCAACGCTCACTGTTTGATAATACTGACAAAATGTATTCTCGTGAAACGTGTTTGTTTGTAACTGCCTTATACAATTTATGACAGCAATAAAACTCTTACCTGTAATGGAAACACAATGTAGAAATACAAAAGCCAACAATAGTCTGGTAACTTCCTTTGTGTACTCACACATCATAATGGCAGATTACAGGTGGGCCTACTGCTACTTTACATTCACTGTAACATGTTATATGTTTTAAACGAAACGAAAAATTTGATAAACGAAATAAATACATTAAATAAGTGCGAACGTTGCGCAATCATGCATCTCATTTAAGCCAAAATAATTTTCACATAAATAAAAAGAAAGGGAAATGGCGGTTTTATATATCCGAGTCACTGCAGCTAACTCAATTCTAGATTTTACTGCACCAGAATAAAACCGTTTTTTTTCTTTTTTTGGTTTCGGATTTCCTATTTTTAGTTGTTCGTTGTTTAGGTTAGCTGTTGATATACAGAAAAACACAATTTACCGACAAAGTTCCGTTAATAATATCCACACAGAGGCAAGAAAAATGTTTTCTTAAACCCCAGTTATCAACTTATGAATACAATACCACTTCGTTATTTGAGATCGACAATTCACCGGTATATACAATCACGATTCTAGCGCATTCTCCCCGCTTTCTGATTACTTCAAGGAAAGTTTAATACTGGTAAACCACAACAACCTTTACTCTCGGTTTCCTGTTTTTTTTTATCATGTTTACTATTTCCATATCTATTATACTGAATCGATCAAAAAATAATTTTCGAATCCACAAAGTTAATATATATCCACTTAAACCAGGGTATACTTTCAATATCACCTATCTGAATTCCGTTTGAACTATAAGTAATGTATATAAATATATTCCTTTCATCTGAATACAATCGGGGCGGATACATATTTTTATTTCGGAAGGCGTATTATGTTAAGGCATGTATTAAACGAGGTAGTGTATGGAATATCTAGCAAGGTACCCGTCTTCATTAGTCCAGTTGGTTTAGAAAAAATAAGACGTTAAACATCATTCTATACATTTTTATTTCGGGAGGTGTATTATATTAAGCCATTTATTAAACGAGGGAGTGTATGGAATATCTATACCAAGGTGCATGTCTTCATTAGTCCAGTTGGTCCAGAAAAATGGGACGTTAAACATCATTCCATACATGTATCCAACATGGTTATCCCTTGTCAGTGGTGCAGGACGAAGTCGCAGGCAAAAGATATCGTACATATTGGCGTGCAAGTAAAAGATCCATTTTCCGGCGCGCCCCCCCCCCCCATTGTCAGTGATGCAGGACAGAGGGCCTGAAAAGGACAGCTGTCTAGTCGTTCGGATGGGACGAAAAGCCGAGGTCCCGTGTACACATTGGCGTGCACTTAAAAGATCCCTTGACAGTTGGAATGTAATATATGAGTAGGCTGTAGCGCCGCTGTCCGGACAAAATTTCCCTTCATATAACATTATATGGCGTATGCCCGTCTTCATTAGCCCAGTCGGAGCAGAACAGTAGGACGTTAAACCCCATTTCATTTCATTCATTATGCCAAAATGCATGAGATAATCTAATTATTTAAACTGTATTGACCAGGGCTGAGATCAAGTTAAAATTTCCTTTAACTGATTAACGCGTTATTTTTTTTTTTTAAGCTAATGAGTTAATTATCGAAGCTCCTAAAACATGACCATTTTCGCATCCAACCTTTTGTAGAGAGTAAAAAAAACCTTTTTATTCCGGACTCCAAATCCAGGATTTAGGTGGAATGAGGGGGGGGGGGTCTTTTTAAAAACATCGAATTAGGTGGGAGACTGGAGACCAAGATATTTCGACCGGAAACTTGCGGTCCAGCAAACGTAACTAAGGCGACAGTGGCACAGTGATCTCTGGATAACATTTTGCATGAATTAGGCCCTTTCATGAGTCTGTATAACGATTGTCCAGCTGAATATGCATATGACGTCACAGAGTGTTAACGCGTTAATTAATTTCTATTAACTCCTTAATTTTATTTATACGTTAACCAGTTAATAAGTTAACCGCTCTCAGTCCTGGTACTGAACTTCTGTCTATTTATGAGAGGTTGGATGTCCGAATGATTAGCACGGTTTCCTCCCACTGCTAAAGACCCCTACGCGCAAGCGAATTATTGAAATAAAAAATCAAATCATGTGTTAGTCCCGAAATAACCTAGTTTGTGTCGAGTGGACATTAAACCCGGTCTCTCTCTCTCTCTCTCTCTCTCTCTGAAAGCCCCAATTACAACCATATTATGTGCTCACCCCACCCCACCAAGAGCCCCCACTAGCAATGTTTCATTTGGATTTGCACCTAGAGACGCTAGTATAATAAGTATTGAACATATACAATATAAATACATTGTACTATACGTGTGTATACTAAAGCTTTTATAGTAAGCCGTTTATACCATTGAATACGTGTTATTTATGTATTGAACTTTGAATGTCGATTTCACAATGATCTGTCAAGTGAAATGTGATTTAATATTCGGCCTATTGAAGGAGTTTTTGATCTTAAGATCACCTCTATGTATAGAATCAAAACCAAAGCGCACAATCTTAATATAAAGCATAATTGACGCCACTAGTAACAAACTGTTTATTGGAACTACTAGTACATTTGCGACCAAAATAATCTGTTATATATTATGTTGACGCCCAAACGAAACGATATCAATAATTTGTGATCCATTAGCAGCCCCCCCCCCCCCCCAAGAAAAAAACAAGTTAAATGATTGACATTTTATGTTTTATTTTAATAAAGCAATGTATAAAAAATATGATTTTTCCAACAAAGTCCACCCATGTCTAGGAGTGTAGGAAAGTTATAATAGCAGTTTTAGTAGTATTAGTTTTTGTAGTAGTAGTGGTAGCAGTAGTGGTAGCACTAGTAGTAGTAGTAGTTGTAGGAATATTAGTAGTAGTTGTAGTGTTAGCACTAGTAGTAGTAGTAGTTGTAGGAATATTAGTAGTAGTTGTAGTGTTAGCACTAGTAGTAGTAGTAGTAGTTGTAGGAGTATTAGTAGTAGTTGTAGTGGTAGCACTAGTAGTAGTAGTAGTAGTAGTAGTAGTAGTGGTATTAGTAGTAGTAGTAGTTTATTGGTGGTGGTTTTAGTAGCCGTACCCGCAGCGGCAGTAGTTAGTATTAGTATTAGTAGTAGTAGTAGTGGGTAATTCCCCAACCCCCTTAAATATGATCCTCTAACATGTAAAACCAGACCGTGGAAACGTCGCTTCCTTGGCAAATTTCGCTGTTCCTTATACCTAAATGACTAATCGCATAACTGTTTCAAACCAACATTTATTGGAATAAAGTAAAATAAAACATGTTAATCCTCATTGTAAAATTGTGCAACATGTTTAAACTTCTTATTAAATGACATGTATAAATACTGGAATATATTCTTATAGAACACAAAAGAAAATGAGTCTAAAACATATTTGTGGCTTTTTATGTGCACAAAGGGAACCACCTATCCTACTTCGAGAATAGATCTCTGCTCTAAATGGCCGCCATACCCTCCAATTAATATACTGTTTTGTAATGGGGTCCTTCTCCGGTTCACATCTGTTATAAACAATTTTATTAAATGAAAGCGGAATATATACTTCTCAAAATTAAAAAAAAAAAGCTTAGTGGTTTCGTCTAAAATCGTTGATTTAGGACTTAAAATGTCGGTCAACTAGCTTAGTGTCTGTTCGCAAGCGGAGCTAATTGTAGACAGACAGTTTAAGTTTAATAGATGGTGATCAGAGACGTACAGATGTTTGCTAATGCCCTGGGTCAACTTAATGATTATATGCCTCCATTCCCAAGAATTAAGCATAGAGTCATGTACTAGGGAATTACGTAAACATATGAAATAAACGTTTAATTCAAATGAATGAAACACATTAATTAAGTTCGGTACCCAAAAGAGACCTCTTATCAGAAAAAAATGTCAAATTCACTCCTTAATTCAGTGATTCTCAAAAGGTGTGCCGCGAAATTTTTGAACGGCACACTAAGAAAAATGTGAAAAACCACGTGTCCCAATTGAGTATTTACTGGTGTCTACTGATAGCTGTGATGACTATTCGCTGTCTACGGTTGTATGCCGTCTATGACATGTTTTTATTTTGCAAAATTCAAATATTTTTCATATATATTTAGCCAAGTGGGTCGCTATTTTTTCATGTGTTCCAAGGTGTGCCATTGGCAAAAAAAGGTTGAGAACCACTGCGGCTTAATTGAACGCCACCCTCCCCACCCCCGCACCCCTCGCGCGAAATGGATGTCCTGGGCCGCACTGGTGGTGATTGTAAGCGTCCAGGTGAAACTGAAGCAGGTGCAAAACATTACAATCAATTCTAGGTGTATTATGTGTATAATTAATACACCGAGCCAGTTTTCGGTTTAAATTTATCAAAGCTTATATACAAATCATTCTCCAGAAATGTCCACGAATCATTATCTTTAATCGTGTTCACGGATCGGGCTTCTGGTTGTTTGGTCTCATCTACTAGTTGGGACGCCTTGGCCCGTCTAGTTCTTCTACACACCATGCTGTAAAACAAAGCAAACGGCAACAGTAACAACAGCATATGACATGGTTCCAAGACATTATATAAGATTTAGATAAAGAACTGGACGCCCTTGCTATAATAGTTCATAAATAGATAATGCAGAATGAATATATTAAACATTTCATTCAAATTACTTTATTCTGAGTGAAGTTATCAATGTTTATAGTTCTGACAAGATGTGTGCATTGAATGTTTATAGTGGTAACAAAGGCAGTAGTTATTCGAGACTGAGCCTTGCTTCTCCATTTTTAAATTAAATGGCCGAACCTTTCTAATCTACTTAAAATCGGAGACATCCGATGGCCTAGAGAGTTGATTATGGTTTTGTCATGTTAGTAAATGTATAATTAATAATTTATATAACATTTAAGACGTAAAGAAAGATCGATAATAAGCAGATTTAATTAATTATTCCATCTCCAACCATAAAATTTGGTTAATTGTTCAATAAAACTGTGCCTTTCTATGAAATGCTAACTGTGGACAGCATAAATGCTATTGATCGAGTATGTCTAAACCAACAATTATATTTCCACAAAGTCCCACGTGATTCCAGCTGGATACTGAAGAGGTCTGTGCTTCAGAAAATTTGAAATCTATGTTCTCGGAAACGGTTTTCGGCTAGTTTCGGGGACTTAAAACAGTCTGAATTTCGTGAAGCGATAGAATCAACTGGATTCTGGTTACGTTTCAAGTTATGATGTTGATGACATTTTGATTCCAATAATTTCTACGCTGATTACACCCGAATATAGTGCAAAAATTATTTATAGATTTTTCCTTCCCTTTCCCCCTTTTGCATGGCCATTTTAGTTAACTCTCTGACGTCGAATGGAAGAGAATGGTTGGAATGTAGATTTTCTGCCATGTTTAAGTGAATGTTCATGATTTTGAGGCCGGAAGGATTATAGAGTTAAGAGGTTAGTTAGGTTTTAAAAAAAGAGGGCCGATAGTTGCATGTTTATTTCTATACTACTTCCAGTTTGTGTATATCAAGATTTCCATGGTGAACCTCATACATGCTTTTATGCAAGAAATTTCCACATGTTGACCCATCAACGAAAATTTGCGGAAAGTTAGAGCCGGTCAGAGAAACGAGAATTAACATTAGAGGCATTGATGAAAATAATGGTGCACTGATCCCATTTGATGTTCTTTGTATTGATTAAAGGGGGACAACTGCAGATAGTAGTTGCTTCTCTACACTCCGTTCAAAGAGAACTACTATGAAAGGATATAAAGAGTTTC